TGAATGGAATTGGTGACTGATCTCCGATACCGTGCAGCCCCTCCCTTCTTGACGTTCGACAGTTTGTGAAAATCTCCTACACTTTTTGGGTGTTGAATCCATTGATCGACTCTACCGTAGCGATGACGTTTTTGGTCTTTGAACACTATGGCCGGTCTCCCCAGAGACAATTTCTTTGGCCAGCAGCGACAGCTGTTCTTCTGCGCTTTTGGTTGGACTTACCCTTACTTCATGAAAGAAAGTGGCGACTGATAATATCCGTTACCGTTCAACCCCTCCCTTCTTGACGATCAAATGCTTGTCGCCAGCAATTTTTTCTCCTGAGCCCTGCAATTTATAAAACCACCATTAACGATATTTTTATTTTTTTTCCACGGAAGTTTTTTCACTGCTGGCCGGATTTGTGTTTAACCCTTCCCTGAAAAAGCCTGTAAACTGACATTAAGCAAAATAATTATTATTAATTCTAAGAACGACGGCAGCTACCCAGCTGACACAGATACCTTCGTAGAACCACCTGCCCAAGGCGGCATCACAAGTAACCGCGTAACGTCCACTGATCTGAATGATGCAACGAGCACTAATGAAATCCATCAGGTAACGGAAGAGCCCAGAGAACATGGCGTCCGAGATAACGGAGTAATGCTCAAAACACTAACAAATGCAGCGGGAAATTCTGCTGGTGCAAAACTGAGGTGCTTGTACACGAATGCCCAATGCCTCATACTGAAACTAGACGAGTTAAAACTCTGCCTTGCCGAGCTGTCTCCAGATGTTTTAGCAGTAACCGAAGCCTGGCTATCCGGGAATATTAGTGATAGCGAAGTAACCTTGCCTGGATACCAAATTTATCTGAGGGACAGGGAACATCGTCAGGGTGGTGGTATAGTTGTGCATGAGAATGAAGGCCTGGCAGTGTTGGAAAACACCACCAAGTTTGCGTGCGGCGCGGAACCTATTTGGTTGACAATCAAGGCTACCGGTTCCCCATGTCTTGATGTCCTTACTGTCTACCGACCACGTAGGACAAACCAAATCGCCGACACTGAACTATTGGAGCAGTTGGAGAAATTTTCCAGTCGACCTAACCTCATATTCATGGGCGACTTCAACGCACCAGGAATTAGCTTGAACGCTCTCCAAGCGTCAGGTACAAAATCGGCATTCGATTACCGTCTGCTGAACAAAACATTAAATGCGTCCCTCACACGACACGTAATGTTCCCAACGAGAACACGTGAAGGGCGAAGAGCAAACTGCCTGGATCTGGTTTTTACGAAAACACCAGACGGCATTGACGAGATCAACTCCATGCCGCCCCTTGGCCGCAGTGATCACGTAGTGCTTATGTGGGATTATTCGTTTTTCTCCATTTAACATTCTCCAGACCGCAAAGGACGTAATGTTTGGCGAGGCGACTTCGGTCAGATGAGGGCAGACTTATCCGGTCTCGGCTGGGGCTCATTTTTTACGGGGAATGCCAGCGATGACTGGGAGCTGTTCAAGAATGTCCTTCTGCAGCTCATCAACAACCACTGCCCACTGACTAATGTAAGACTGAACAAACGCTCTGAGTGGCTAAATAGTAACCTCAAGAAAGAAATCAACAGGAAGCCCAAATTGTGGGGAAAATACTGCGTCACTGGGCAAGTTGAATATTGCAAAACCTCCAAGACACAAAGGAACAAACTGAGGAACCTGATCATGAAGACGCGGCGGGAATTCGAGAAGAACTTGCTACAAAAATCAACGCGGAACCCAAAATTACTCTACAGTTACCTCCGACGAAGTACAAGGAACAGACATCAAAGCCCCTTAATAAGGATTACTGATGGCGTTGATTTGGTTGATAGTAGGGATAAAACTGTGTATTTTTCCCAGTTTTCCAATCATTCTACACAAACGAGACAAGGTTCCTTCCTCCCTCCACAGAAAAACTACCGACCCCAAGCGTCAGTGATATACTCTTCTCAGAAGGCATTGTCCGAAGAGAATTAGAGCCATTGAACGAATCGAAGTCACGGGAACCAGATGAGATTCCACCCTAGCTTCTCAAGGAATTTGCCAGTGAGCTCTCTGTGCCTTTGTCGATGCTCTTTCAAAGGTCGTTTCACACTGGAACACTTCCTATCGATTGGAAGCTGGCGCATATTACTCCGCTACACAAGGGAAGTAACAGGCAGCGACGACAAATTACAGGCCCATAAGCATGACATGTATTCTCTGCAAAGTTATGGAAAGGATCATAAAGAGTGAACCGATGCAATTCCTGGAAGTTCACGGCCTGCTATCGAACTGCCAACATGGCTTCCGGAGAGGAAGATCCTGAAAGACAAACTTGCTGCAATCTCTCCAGAGCTGGACCGAGGCTCTCGACGACAGGCACGCGGTCCACATAGCCCTCATCCACTTCCAGAAGGCGTTCGACACTGTGCCACATCAGAGGCTCTTGCACAAACTTAAAAAAATAGGGATCAGTGGCAACTTCCTTAGATGGATTGAAAACTTCCTTTTGGGCCGACAGCAGGTTGTGTGCATTGGGCAGGGAAAATCAGACCCTGCCAGGGTTGAGAGTGGTGTACCCCAGGGTTCAATACTGGGACTCATTTTGTTCCTTATCTACATGGACGATGGCGCAAGAGCTTTAGACTGCGAAGTAGCAATGTTTGCCGATGACATCAAGCGTGCGTTTATGGACTTTGACGAACATACTTTCTCTAAGACATTCAGAACATTCGTCCTACTGCATTTAGAGTACGGCATATTAGCCTGCAGGCCGTGGGCGGTTGAGGATCAACACTGCCTCGAAATAGTCCAGAGGAGAGCCACGAAGATGGTTAGGGGTCAAAGCTCCTTTCTATATAAAACCCGCCCAGTAAATCTGAACCTCTTTCCTTTGAGTTACAGCAACTATGCGGGGATCTCTTGCAAGCCGTCCGCGTTCTAAAGGGGTTGGACTGCAGTCTGAACTTCTAGGACTTTTTGAATTTGCTACCACGACCACCCCCCAAAGTCACCCGTTAAAACTGCGCACTCAGCAGGCAACAGCGGATATGCGGAAGTTCTCCTTCTCTATTCGAGTGATCAAACCATGGAATGCCCTTCCCGCAGATGTTGTGATGTCATCATCTATACAAAGTTTAAAAAGATTCTTGACATATCTATGTTCCCAAATGACCAAGAGCAATGAGAAGTAGAGCTCATCCCTGTAACTCATTCTGCTTTTGTCCTACCACTATGGGCCTGCTTGAACTATTTCAGCCCAGAAAATGTATCTGTATACCGCACATTTTTTACATTACAGATAGGGTACACAAAGGCTTACGCCTATTTCCCTAAATAAACTGAAGTGAAGTGAATGCAAAAATCGAGTAATAGTTCCCTTAATTGAATGATAATTTTGCCGATTTTTTACAATCCTGGGTAGTCTATTCCAAAATAACGAGTGCGTCCATCGAATTTGAGTCGAATCCCCAGCTGTCCGAGTTTTCGTCGAATTTACTTGATATTATAGGGCAGACTGAACGTCGCGTGGAAATAAACTGCGAACTGACAACGTATCCTTTGGATTTGGATTACAAGTACACCAACTCGAAAGTTCTATCATCATTGGAATTTCCGGATCTGGACGTTATTTCCCACGGTATCAGGAGGAAGCTTCGACCCGAATTCTTCGAGGAACAGCACCACTGATTAGTCTTCTCATTCGCACCGGTGAAGTATACCACAAATTCTCAATCAACAGATATTGGCAATCGTCCGACCATCTGTACAAGGCTCCCTGCCCTAGTAGCAATAGATATCGAGTAGATATACGTGAATAGCGATTTATCGAGATTTGTGTATCTGTCACGTAATTGGCTACCTCGCTTGTGCAATCTGCAATTTCATTGGTTGCCGTACTTTAGTTGCATTCCGATTGCGCGCTCACGCGGGCGCGCCATTATTTCGCGTGAGCGGCGTGGAACGCGTGACGTGACACTGCTTGCACTAACTTGTCCTTATTGATTTATACCTGTTGTCTGCTGTTTCTCTCATTACCATGTTTAGGCAGGAATCCCGGAGAACAGTATTACGACGTATTAAGAGGTACGGAGACGAGGAGTTTCGGGAAATCGTCGAGGCTGTGAAACGTAGACGAAAATCTCAAAGTCGCCCTTTAAGCGCGTTATCTGGCGGCTCAGAACTCTTACAGCCTAAGCAGGAGGACAGGACCACTTTGTCCTCAGAAAGTGCTGTCCTGAGGACGAATGCAGGAGAGTCTTCGGTCGCTGAAAACCATGAGATCGTACCCGTTACCCCAGGCGACATATACGTCAAACGTTTGCGTGAATGGGCGGTGGACTTCAAGATTGCACACGCTCCCATAAGAGCCCTTTTGGCTATTTCTAAGCCGATTGTGCCCCAACTACCGGCAGACCCCAGAACGCTCTTGGGAGCGGCCTATGATCTAAAGGTTGCCCCAATGGGTAGCGGTGAGTATGTGCACGTCGGCTTAGAAAGGCAACTACGTAGACTTATAAGTAAGAATATAGTAAACCCAGCTTGCGATATAGAGATTCAGCTGGTCACCGATGGTCTCCCAGTATTTAGAAAAACAAACACCGAGATGTGGCCAATCTTAGGCAGAATCTCGCGGCCCATTGTCAGTAACGTTTTTCCAGTCGGCATCTACTGTGGTACTTGTAAACCGTCAGATGTACATGCATTCTGTAAGTCAGTAGTTAGTGAGTTAACATCATTAAGCGAACAAGGGATCACCAGCAGCGACAGCGTCGGACTGCAGACCCGCGTTCGCGTCAGCTGTGTTATCTGTGACGCTCCTGCGAGGGCCTTCGTTAAGCAAATCAAGAACGTGAATGCATATAATGGGTGCGAACGTTGTACAGTAACTGGGTGATGAGATACCCACAACAGTGCCTAAGGAAAACGATAATGAAGACATTCTGCTGCTCATGTGTAAACACTTGAGGGCACTGTCTGTGAAAATAGACATCTTGATGGAAACAAATCGCAAAGTCCTAGGACGTCAACGGCTATTGGAATCGTTGATTCGACAGCAAGGTAAAACTGGGGGAGAGGTAGCTTCTCAGCTGCCCATGAACCCTCTAGACCACCAGATACGTTCCGGTGAAGAGTTTCGGAATTTAAATGTACAATTACTGGACAATGATTTCAGAAACCAGCTGGTATGCAAAACATTAAACAAAACCCTATTGCTTTAGACTTCGTTCCTTACATGCCTTGGAGGGCATAATGTAGACGAATTTGTCAAGCGAATATTCTTCGCTATCTTCGACGACGAAATTAGCTTGTGTGTCAATTTCAAGGGCAGAAAGACAAAAGAACGCCTCAGTGGTTCAAAACTATATGAGGTTATACTTGGTAAGTCTGCGGTTACTTACAAATCTACAAGATACAGAAGTCTTCGGCGCATGGAATACGGATAGGAGCGTAAAGTTGTCAGACCTGGAGTCAGCACTAACCAAGCGCCTAAAAAGGTCGCTGGATAGCTATGTGCAACGAAAGAACAAGTCACAAGTCCACCGAGATGAGATTGGTAAATTGATTGCCGTTTATCATGAACTACTTCTGACATGTAGACAATATCCCAGGACCATCAAGTAATTCTCCGCCTGCGTGAACAAAGGGATATCCCTTAGAAGCGGTTCAGCAAGGCTATGTACATATTTCGTTATTTTACTTTTAAATAAAACTATTCCACAATAACCGTCTCCAAATTAACTATGGGTAAAGGGGAGTGGGGGCAAAGACAAGAAAAGGAATGGATGGGGGCATAAAAGGGCATTGGGTTAAGCAAACGATTTTACGCGTAGCATATTACGCCCCCTTTTCGCGAATGGCGTAGTATCTCGATTAATCGATATCTAATAGATATCTATTTTTGCGACAAAATAGATATCTATTCGATATATAAATCTCGATAAATAGATATCTAATAGATATCTACTCGATATAGTTTGCTACTAGGGTGCTTGACAAATTTCCTCCGAGATCTACATCGAAAACAATAAAGGGCTGAGTCGTTTCCTATTTAACTTCATAATTGGCAAATTCTTCATTCTTACAATTGTCAAAAACATCCTGCACTACTGTAGAACTGATTGACGAGTTTCAAAATCATCAACAATGAGCCAATTTGTCATAAAAAAAACTCGTTCACAATAGTTGTGCACCCAGGATTTGAACTCGATACCTGCGGATCCGGAGGCCAGAGCGTTGGCCACTGCGCTATCGCTGAACGGTTCGCCGCTAGTCAGATATGTTTATTAACTACAGAGGAGCAGCTGAGAACGGTCTTTAACTCATTAGCAGTCTCTTGCGATAAAATGCCGCTGGAATCATTAAACTCCAGTGAGATTACGCACAATAGGCTTCAAGAGATAAGACAGGAAATAAGAACCGATGCACTGCCAAGAGGCCTCGAAAACTGTATGACAGACGGGACGGATTCTGCGATTGTCGGTCGCTGTGTCGGCTGTAAGGAACTTGAAAAGCGAGTCCAGACGTTAGAAGAGAAGCAAGGCCTACTGACGGACATAATCATGGCTATTCTTAAGCACAGTAAAATAGAATAAGCAAATACTCCGTCAAATTTCCGATCGATAAGCGACGAACATCCTACTAATAAAGGCACTAGCGCGGAAAAGTCAAAGCCAGTCAGGAAGAGGAAGCGAGTTATGTCTCCAGAGGAAACCCCAGACACTTTCGCGCGTCCTTCGAATTTGAGTCGTATCGTCAGCTCTCCGAGTTTTCGTCGAATTTACTTGATAGTATAGAGCAGACTGAACGTCGCGTGGAAATAAATTGCGAACTGACAACGTATCCTTTGGATTTGGATTACAAGTACACCAACTCGAAAGTTCTATCATCATTGGAATTTCCGGATCTGGACGTTATTTCCCACGGTATCAGGAGGAAGATTCTACCCGAATTCTTCAAGGAAGAGCACCACTGATTAGTCTTCTCATTCGCACCGGTGAAGTATACCACAAATTCTCCATCAAAAGATATTTGCAATCGTCCGACCATCTGTACAAGTCTCCCTACTTGACAACTTTTCTCCGAGATCTACGTCGAAAACTATAAAGGGCTGAGTCGTTTCCTATTTTAATTGATAATTGGCAAATTATTCATTCTAACAATTGTTAAAAACATCCTGCACTACTGTAGAATTGATTGTAGAGTTTCAAAATCATCTGCAATGAGCCGATTTGTTACAAAAAACTCGTTCACAAAAGTTATGCAACCGGGATTTGAACTCGGTACCTGCGGTCTCGGAGGCCACAGTGTTAGCCACTGCGCTATCGATGAACGGTTAGGCGCTAGTCAGATATGTTTATTAACTACAGAAGGGCAGCTGAAAACGGTCTTTAATTCATTAGCAGTCTCTTGCGATAAAATGCCGCTGGAATCATTAGACTCCAGGGAGATTACGCACAATAGGCTCGAAGAGATAAGACAGGAAATAAGAACCGATGCACTGCCAAGAGGCCTCGAAAACTGTATGACAGACGGGACGGATTCTGCGCTTGTCGGTCGCTGTGTCGGCTGTAAGGAACTTGAGAAGCGGGTTCAGACGCTAGAAGAGAAGCAAGACCTACTGACGGACATCATCATGGCTATTCCTAAGCACAGTAAGATAGAATTACCAAATAATCCGCCAAATTTCCGATCGATCGGCGAAGAACATCCTACTAATAAAGGCGCTAGCGCGGAAAAGTCAAAGCCAGTCAGGAAGAGGAAGCGAGTTATGTCTCCAGAGGAAACTCTAGACAAATCAGCTCCGGTGGATAACGTGGCAGTCGACACTAATGCATTAAAAATAAGTCAGGTTCCATTACCTGCTGTACTAACTAAACCTGCCAAATCATCGAACAATAAAGTTGGGAAAGCCAGGGTGACCATCAGAAGATCTGTTAGGAACTACAAGGACTCGCCGTTATTCTTGGAAGGCAATGCTGTTACTCCACTTCTTCACAAGGCTAACTCATCCGGAAAGTGTCCTAACCATTCCGTTTATGGAAAAGGACACGATAAGCCTTCGTGCAGTACATTGCAACAGCGTAACGACTGTAAGAACTCCACTGCCGAAGCAAGTAGGTTACATGAAAATCCATGCCCTAAACTCCCTTCGCCGGTCGAAAATCATTCAAATGTCGAAGTGACAACAGCCGTCGGGAATACTACAGTAGCATTATATCGTCCTAGCGCGGACGGGACAGTAATGAGCTCTTCCATAAATCGTAAGCAAAATATTGTCATAAGGGGCGCCCCAGAGTCCACGTCCTGCATTCCGAAGGAACGAGTGACGCACGACCTAGACCTTCTCCATCAGTACGCCAGTGCCGTCCTGCAGGATGGGGAAATAGTCACTGTTAAAAAAGCTTTCTAACTAGGCAGAGCGGACCCAAATCGTGACCTAAAACATTTTCAAGAGCCCTGAAAGTTATGTTGGAAAACGAAGCCCAAGCAGCGCTTTTGTTAGAAAGTAGAACGACCTTACGCAATTCGCACAAGGAAGTGTTTTTTCAACCAGACTACGAACAGAGGGAAAGACTGAAAATGAGAGAACTGAGATCAGAATTGAAGGAGAGAATTGGTAGAGGAGAGAAAGGGCTGAAGATCAAAAATGGGCAAATAGTCCAAACAAAGGGGTCTTTCCTGAGGTCAGAACCCGTCACAATGAAGGCCGGGCCTCCCCAACGAATCAGTCATTGAAGGTTATATCCGCAAATGTGCAAAGCCTCTTCAACAAACTAGATGAACTAAGAGACTTAGTTGATGAAATTAAGCCAGACATTATGGCATTCACAGAAACGTGGCTTACTGAAGATATCGCAGATTCATAAATATCACTTAGAGGATATCAGCAATTCAGGAGAGATAGACTAAGCCGAGGAGGAGGAGTCATAATTTATGTCACTTGCAAGCTAAGCGCTATGGCTGATGTACACAGACCGGTATGGGATGTGGAACTTCTAAGCGTTACCATATCTACTAAGAATGTCCGATCATTGACGCTTTCGGTAGTGTACCGTTCACCTAACCATACTTCTGACCAAGATCTCATGCTCATATCCGAACTGTACCAAGCTAGCGAGAAGAAAGATGTCCTTATGGTTGGGGATTTTAACGATCCTGGCATTGATTGGCTGACGTGGACTGCACAAGGGCCGCAAGACAGCTTTAATCACAAACTACTACAATGGGCAACGGACAAACTTCTCTGCCAGAATGTTACCTTTGGAACACGGGTCAGGGAAGGGCAGCAGTCGAACTGCCTTGATCTTATATTTACCCGAGAGGAGGAAAACGTGTTAGACCTGCAGGACCGACAGCCATTAGGGTCAAGCGACCACATCACGCTCTACTTCGAGTACTTACTGTTTTACAAATCCGCCCAACCCGAGAGGTGGGAGAGAAACGTTTGGAAAGGTGACTATTCTCTCATGAGGAGGGAAGCGGCAGCTACATCATGGGAGATTCAGTCAGTCAGTCAGTGTATTTGAGGGAAATAGGCTTACGCCTTTGAACTCCCTATTTGTACATAAAAAATCGATCAACAATCATGGTCGCGCAAATGACAACTGGAATACTTTCAGTTCCTTACTGAAAGAGATTGTTTATTCCAATTGTTCTCTCAGATGAAAGACAATCACAAACCGCCCAAAATGGATAAACCATGACTTGAAGGCCTCTTTCAGAAAAAGGAATCGTCTGTGGAGGCTTTACAGACTAACTGGCTTCGAAGAACACTTACAGGAATATAAGCGGCTACGAAACGTCTGTAAAAGTGAGGCCTCAAAGCTGCGAATGAAGTTTGAACAGAACATACTCCGAAATTCGTTGGAGCATGCGAAAATTCTATATGGTTATATACGAAGTACTAAAAGGACTCAGGAGCTGATCCCTGCCCTTAGGTCTGCAGATGGAAAAGTGTAGATTGATGAACAGGAAAAAGCGTCTCTCCTTTCCGACTTCCTACAGTCCGTCTTTACCCGAGAACCTAGTTCTATATTTCCCCATCCACCCATTCGCCAACCAACCTCTCCTCCCAATACTCTTCCACCTCCTAACCCCTCCCTACCCTCCTTAACCGAGGAACCACTCTTTTCATCTACCATAGTTAGGGCCGAGCTAATCCGGCTGAAACCTGCCAAATCGCCTGGCCCAGATAGAATTCCCAGCCTTGCAATTCGTGAACATGCTAATAAGTCAGTTTAAGTCAGTTTATTAAGGGAATCAGGCTTTCGCCCTTGAGCTTCCTATTCATATCGATAAATAGAAATAAAGTCATCAATTACATCAGCAAATGCGAAAAGTTAAGAAGTTAGCGGTAAGTGTGAGCTAGGCGCAAACTGCCGCCGTTAAAACAATCATTATTATCTGTGCAGTAGGTTCTCAACAAGTGAGCGTCTAG